AGCCGCTGGCACGGAGCACTCCTCACCTCTCTACTCTCATGTGCCGTTTAGGACTTGCCGTAAAAGTGCTACAGTCTGCCACGAGACACCTGAGACCCTTTACAACCTCGGCATCCAATTTGCCAGCCAGCCAGTGTTAATCCAATCACTGAAATACTATCGATACAGTAAACTGCTGATAAGTCACCGCTCCGTGGGACGAGGGCTCAGTGACGAGATTTCAGCATGTGGACAAATACATCAATAAATGTGGCTGGGATATTGACAGCATGATGACTTCAGTGGTAATGACAAGTTAGGGCAGGTTTGCGTTAACAGGACTTAATAATGATAATGGATGATAATCCCTGCATTTGATGTTATCCTTTTGAAATATCTCAAAGTGCTTCACTGGACTTTACTGTTGGAGGTTTATGCTTTTCGAAAAAAAACACATCATAATGAGGTTCCATTATATTTTGTATAAGCGAACATTTTGACACAGCAATGATCCACAAACAGCCATGAAGTGAGTGACCAATTTTATTTGGGGGATTTTCAGCCAAGACACCGGGAGAGAGAAACTCCCTTCTCCCTTCTCATGTCTCTGAACAGGCAGATGGGACCAAAGTAACATCTCATCCAAAGGACGGCATCTCCAACAATGTAATGCTCGTGTGAGATCAATATCCCAACGTAGGGCCTGAACTCAGAGCTACCAATTCAGCCAGGCTGATATCTGACAAGGGTGACATTACTAACAACAATAGATAGTGGAGTCCTGTAGCTCAGTGGTTAGAGCACTCGCTTTGCAAGTGAGAGACCTGTGTTCAATTCCAGGCAGAGGGCGAAACCTTGGGCAAGTTTCCTTACTCCACACAGAGCCTAATAATAATCCCTCCAAAACCAAAAACAATAATAAATTGGTCATTTTCAATCTACGACTGTGTGTGGGACACTGCTGTGTGCAATTGGCTGCCGCATTCGCCCACAATATACAGTCAATTCACTTTACAGTCTATTCTGTGAAGCGCTTTGGGACGTCTAGAAGACATGAAAAGCGCTATATCAAATGCAAGGATTATTATAATAATAATAATGAATAAAAATGAACCCTGAAATAATACGTTTTACATAGTGGATGTGTGACCGCAAACTCACTGAAGGAAAACACTCTTTAGAAATTGGAGAAAGTTTTTGAAGTGGAGAATTGCGGACTCTTGGGCAGTCCAAATACATTGTTCTCATCTCTGGTGAGGACTTAAGCACTTTATGATTGAAGTCCCAGAATATTATCAGCCTTGCTTAACTCTGTCAGTACTGTGTGTTAGCCAAGCTCAGTTAGCAGCAATCTTGCCTCTGTGTCAGAAGGTTGTGGGTTCAAGCCCCACGTTAGGACTTTGAACTCAGTCTCGGCTGAGTGTTACAGGAGCACCATTTTGCCAGAGTTGCTGCCGTTCTGTTGAGATGTTCAACTGAGGCCCGGTCTGCCTGTTGAGGTGGATGTTACGGATCCCATGGCGCTAAGGTATTCAAAAAGAGAAGGGAATTTCTGTCCTGGCTGACAGTCCCTCAAATACAATTAGTCATACATTTCATGGTTGTTTGCGGCACACTGCTGTGCGCAAAATAGCTGACTCGTTCACCTACAAATACAAAAGTCATTGCGCTTCAAGTAAATCCTGGGATGCATTTTGAGACATTCTGCTCACATTATAGGCACTGCATCGAATGTAAGGATTATTGTTTTATTAATTATTCCTGAACAAGAATCTTGCTCAATACTACCCAATACTACAAAACAAAAGCAGCCTGGCTGCATCCCTCGCCTTTTAGTGTGCGTGTGTGTATGTGTGGTGTTTGTGTGTGTGTAGAGGTCCAAAGCATTTGACTTCAAAGAAAAGTTCAAAGGTAAAAAGTCGGGGCAATACACACCCCGCCTCCCCCTCACCTCCATCTAGAAAGAGCAGTCACAGTTTAGTGTGTCTTTCAGACAAACCTGTTTTCTCACACACGCAATCCATCCAGTTGTGTCAGTGAGGCATTCTGCCCTCCCTCTCCTCTGCGGTTTGACCCAGGTATTAGAGTAATCTGATGGCTCACAGCTGTGAGCTGCCTCCTTCCCTTTGAACTCACAGATACCACTGCCTCTGCAGCTCCATTTTGGGCTTAGAGCAAGTTCAGAGGTCGGAAGGATTAACATCCAGATATAATAATTGTAAGGAAACAGCAACTGAGCAGAGACTCCGCCTGAATGAGAGCTTGAAATCCAGGCATTTCCAATATTTTTTTGGAATAGTTTTGCTTGAAAACTTATTGAAAGTCAAACGTTTCTTCCTTGTCCTAAATCATTATTTGGTCCACAAAAACACACAACCACTACACTAAACAGCAAACACTGCGACACACTTTGTTACGTCCTCCTGACGTGAAAGGCACTCTATCAAATGCAAGGATTATCATTACTATTTGTTGTTGCTATTATCATTGTTTGCACCTGGAGAATTTATTTAACTTAAGGCAAGGCTTTTATTTTTGGTCAGCGTGGGGTGCCGTGGGTTGGTATGGGGTGGCGTGGGCTGGTGTGGGGTGGTGTGGGGTGGCGTGGGCTGGTGTGGGGTGGCGTGGGTTGGCGTGGGGTGGCGTGGGTTGGTGTGGGGTGCCGTGGGTTGGTATGGGGTGGCGTGGGTTGGTGTGGGGTGGCGTGGGTTGGTGTGGGGTGGCGTGGGTTGGTGTGGGTGGCGTGGGTTGGTGTGGGGTGGCGTGGGTTGGTGTGGTGTGGGTTGGTGTGGTGTGGGTTGGTGTGGGGTGGGTTGGTGTGGCGTGGGGTGGCGTGGGTTGGTGTGGGGTGGCGTGGGTTGGTGTGGGGTGGCGTGGGTTGGTGTGGGGTGGCGTGGGTTGGTGTGGCATGGGTTGGTGTGGGGTGGGTTGGTGTGGGGTGGGTTGGTGTGGCGTGGGTTGGTGTGGGGTGGCGTGGGTTGGTGTGGGGTGGCGTGGGTTGGTGTGGGGTGGCGTGGGCTGGTGTGGGGTGGCGGGTGGGGGGGTGGGTGGGGGTGGCGTGGGCTGGTGTGGGGTGGCGTGGGCTGGTGTGGGGTGGCGTGGGCTGGTGTGGGGTGGCGTGGGCTGGTGTGGGGTGGCGTGGGCTGGTGTGGGGTGGCGTGGGCTGGTGTGGGGTGGCGTGGGCTGGTGTGGGGTGGCGGGTGCAATTGTTGGATAATTTTTAAATTCAGACTTTAGGTGTCAACCTGTCTTATTCAGTAGCATTCTCACCCTGAGTAAGAGGTCCCATCAGGCGGGGGTGTGCCAAATGTGCGCCAAATGTCCCACAAACGGCCACAAAATACAGTCACTGCAGTCTATCCTGTGAAGCGCTTTTGGAGACATCCGAATGACCTAACGAGGTGCAAGGGTTCACTGTACAGTTGTGGCCGCAGCCCATTCTGTTTGGGTTTGCTCTGGGAAGCTGCCCTGCGGGAAGGGCGCTATATACATGCATGTTGTTGTTGTTGCCACCCAAATAGAGTGGCCTACTTCCTGTTCATCAGGTTGCTGTCGGCGTCACTTCCCGCTTTGCCTGTGTGCAGCAAACAGGACGTGATGTCGGCCGCGCTCTGGTGACCCAGAAGTCGGCCATTTGTCTCAGTGCAGGAGAGAGCGCGGGGAGACTGGCTTTCTGCAGTTCTTAAAAAAAAGCAAACCGTCTTCCAAATCAGGACTGGAATGAAGGATTTTCCAAACTTCTACACCTTTTTATACATTCTAATAATGAGAAGAACAACAACTTGCATTTACACAGCGCCCCTCACGCAGGGCAGCGTCCCAGAGCGGAGCACGACGCCGAGCTGGGGCAGGGGGAGGTGACCGTAGGCACGGTCGAACAGGAAGGCCTTCAGGCACGACCTGAAGATAGGGAAGGAAGGGCAAGGCGGAGGGATAGGGGAAGAGTGTTCCAGAGTGTTCAAGAACAGAAGAACATAAGAATTTTCTAGGCAAAAGAAGACCAAGGTCAATCCTGTTCACCTTCCACAATCCTGGCAGTAGCACGACATGTTGTGTCCCTAACTATATACTGCATCACAAAATATTACTTCCTAACAGAAATCTATCTAATTTTAAGACCGAACAATCCCAGCCCGAGACAAGATGGAATATTTTGCCCCACGAAAATCTCCGCTCTATAACCATGGGAAACCAACTTTGTTCTCAAAGGATTCCTGTTTGATATTTTTGGTTGAAATTTTGAAACCTTTTAAGGGTCGGAAAGTGTTGGCTGTTCAAAGTGTTTATACAAGGAGCAAATATTCCCGGCTGGCATTTTGAAACGGCTGGCAATCCATCCTCGTTGCTTTTTTTATCCACCTTTGTGTAAATAATTTCAAGGAAATGTTAAATGCTTTAGAATTTGCAGTCGTTAACATCTTTAAACATTGACAGCCCTTGGTTGGAGCTTTCACAAGCACTAGGCATTAATTTTAATTTCCAATAAAAGTTTATGATATCATTTTTTCCCCCCCCGTTCTCAATGGTTAAGCAAACTCACATCCCTCAAATGCTGTAAAATAGTTGGATTTTGCCCCAAAATAATAATAATAATCTTTGCATTTGATATAGCGCCTTTTCACGTCGTTGAGATGTGTTAAAGCGCTTCATAGGCTTTACTGTAAAGTGGATTGACTGTGTGTTTTGTGGCTGAAATGCAGCAGCCAATTGCACACAACAATGTCCTACAAACAGCCATGGAAAGAGCAACCAATTTTATTTGAGGGATTGTCAGCCAGGAGAGAGAAACTCCCTTCTCTTTTTGAATAGTGCCATGAGATCTTTAAGGTTCCCCTGAACAGGCAAAGAATGGGATCTCCTGCATGTAAAGTGTCTGCTTTCCGGCCTCAGTGTGAATGAGATCAACTGAGCCAATATTGAGAAAGGCTGGTGTATAGCTTGGTTGTTGCCTCTGCTATATGTGTTCTCGTATTTACGTCAATACCTTTCTCTCCATCTCTCTCTCTCTCTTCTTCACTCAGGTCTGCCTGACTTAACCCCAGACCCGTACTATGTCCAGGCCTCCACGTACGTCCAACGATCCCACTTGTATTCCTTACGGTGTGCGGCCGAAGAGAAGTGTCTGGCAAGGTAAGATGCCTGGCCCACTAAAACATTTTCCTTTTGTTTCCAAGTCAAAAGCTTCCAATCCACTTGACGTATTGATGGAGCACTTCTCTGAGGGTGGTCATGGACTGAACAGCTCACTGGGGCGGGTTTCACCAATGATGAAAAGACTATTCGTTCACCGTGCTGCTCGTTCACAAAACTCCCTCCCTGTGGGTGATCAAACTGGTCTGATTGTGTTGTGGAGGGAGCGCGGCTGAAATCGTCAACACTTCAGCTACCCACGAGCAATGGCAGTAAGAGATCGAGTTGATCCAGTGTCGAGCAAGCTCTTCGTTCAATTGCTGAACAAAAGCTGAATGAAAGAGGCCCTCCACCAGAGCTGCAAAACCCACTGAGGCGCGACATAGTGGCACACGTGCCTGGCCTCATTAGAGTGAACGTGCTGCCTGTCTCTCCCTTCTCAAGCGATGAAAGGTTGGCCAACTCGCTCTCCATTACAACAGTCCCAAAGGAAACCTTCGTTGACCCGAGGTCTGAACTCCCAACGCTTGGCGGTTTGGAGCGTTTCCCCCGCTGCGATTGATGTTTGAGTTCAGTGGTGATGTTTTCTGACAGAGTGCTGAGCGCTCTCATAGTATCCCATGTTCTCCCATCTGTGTGAGTGGCACCCGTTGGCTTCTTCAGCTCTACCAACCACAGGCTCCAGCTCGTCCAAAATTTGGTCACTCACATCCTGACCACCTGCACCAAACTTTGCTTGCCTATCACTCTCACCTTTAATTTGGTCACTCAATCCACGATTGCTTGTGGGACGCTGCTGTGCGCAATTGGCTGCCGAGTTTTGTCCACAAAGTATACAGTTAATTCACTTTACAGTATATTTGTGAACAATTTGAGATGTCTTGAAGATGTGATAAGGCGCTATATCAAATGCAAGGAAATTATTATTATTTTGGTCAGCTAAAGGCACTGTTTGAGCACACAAGCCTTCCTACAATTCATTGCTTATACAGCTGTACTGAGATTTATGTGTGGCTGTATAAGGTGACCGATGTATCAGCAATTCACTCTGATGCGTTTCTCCACATGAAAACTACTATATTTATTGATTTAGGTTTCCCCTATTCATGCCACATTTCAGAGCGTTCAGAATTGACCAAAATTGTTGAATTCTGAATGAACTTTGAAGTTTGTTTTCTTGCAGTTTCTTTCAAGAAACTGGCAGAAAGGTTGCTCACAGTCCTCCAGTGAATTCATCTCGTGTCTGCTTGGGACGTTGCTGTGTGCAAATTAGGTGTTGCATTCACCTCGAAAAGACACAGTCACTACACTTTATAGTAAATCCTTTGAAGTGCTTTGATGTTCTCCCAACCTGACAGGTGGGACATCAAAATGCAAGGATTATTATTATCCCGTTTGGTTGTATCTGGTCCTAGTCTAACCAGCAGTGGGAAGCTTGCCAGTGCTCTCAATGCCAAGCTATGTGCTTTTTTTTGGCTGGTAAGACTTCAGCGGGACCACAAGACATATCTGAGATTCCCCGAGCCTCGACTCTCGCCAACCTGTGCCTAATGCTCTCCGAGATTAGGTAGGTAGAGTGCGTATGGCATTCCAGAGAAATTTCCACATGTAGGTGACATGCCTATGTGGAAGTCCCAGTCTGGTTTGGATACTCTTACAACAATGTCGATTACAACAGCGTGCATTTACATGGCACCCTTCAGGCGGGGTAGCGTCCCGGAACACCTAATGCACATTAACGAGAGTGTCCGCCTGTGTCGAGATGCTGATCAAAAGCAAAACTCCCATCTGAACTAATTCTTTCATTTTTACACTACAGCTCTGCCTACACAGAAGAATCCACTGACTACGACATCAGGGTCCTGCTGCGCTTTCCACAGAGAGTAAAGAACCAAGGTGCAGCTGATTTCCTTCCAAACCGACCCCGGCACACTTGGGAGTGGCACAGTTGCCATCAGTAAGTGAAGTGACACAAGAGTAATAGAATAATCTGTCTGGGTGCGTGGGTGTCGTGGAGAGCAGTGACCCTTGAGAAAGGGGCACATTGAATTTTCCTTCATACAAAGATCTTTGCAAATATTGTTGCACCCGGGATTTAATTAAGATTACACCTCCCCTGCAGTAATTATTTCCGACATAATGGAAAACGACTTTACAGCAATTTTCAGAAAAGATCCCGCATCTCATTTAAAATGTCAAGTGTAGAGGTTGAGGCGACGCTGGTGAAAGCCAATAAATAGTCGTGCTAATTAGCATTTCTTTTGTAATTAGACAGTTATCATTAATATTCCTGGATGGACCTTTGCTGTGAATGGGCACGCTTCACATTGTGGACTGATTGGTTTAAAGTGGTTCCCTGTCTTTAATTGCAACTTATATTTAATTGGCACCAAAGGCCTGAATTCTGCCTTGTCTTAGCCTGTAAGGCTATTTTTCCTTCATATTTAAGACAGTACAGAATTGTAAAATATTGTGATAAGAACAGCAACAAATTGCATTTGTATTCGCATCTTTCACATCAGGAGGACATCCCAAGGCGCTGGACAGTCAGGGATTTGGAAGCGAGCTGGGGGTTGGGAGCAACAACAACAACTTGTTGGTGGAGGGCAGGGAGGGTGGGGGTAGGAGGGTGGCCGAGGGCCTTGAAAGAGACAAGGGAGGGAGAGGGCCGAAGGGACGTAGTGGGGATGGAATTCCAAAGGGTGGGTGCAGAGAGGCTGAAGGCCCGGCCTCCGATTGTTAAAAACGAAGGCGGTAATAAACGGGTCGGAATGGATTGTTCTTCAGAGACGGCACAGACACGATGGTCTGCTTCTGACTGTAAGGTTCTATGGTTCCAATTCTTGAATTCCGGTTTCTTTTTAAGAAACTGCGAAAAAAAATGGCTTCCAGATCAAGGCTAGATTTAAGATTGCTACACAATAATAATAATAATAATCCTTGCATTTGATATAGCGCTTTTCACGTCAGGAGGACGTCCCAAAGCGCTCCACAGGACACACTGTAAAGTGAATTGACTGTATATCTGTGGGCGAACGCGGCAGCCAATTGCGCACAGCAATGTCCCACAAACAGTCGTGGATTGAAAATGACCAATTTATTATTGTTTTTGGTTTTGGAGGGATTATTATTAGGCTCTGTGTGGAGTAAGGAAACTTGCCCAAGGTTTCACCCTCTGCCTGGAATTGAACTCAGGTCTCTCGCTTGTAAAGCGAGTGCTCTAACCACTGTGCTACAGGACTCCACAAATCTTATATTTCAAGACAAGAAGGTCTCGCAGCTAAGAGTAGGTGGAATTCCGTGGCTCCGATGGGTTTATCCCGCGCTTGAGCTGCCTTTTGGGTCAGTTGAAGTTCTTACGTTTTCTACCAACACTTTTTGGGGGGTCGTGGTGGGCTGCAATCTTTATTTAGATTTTTACTTCATTTGAATCAGGTACTTGTTGCTTCTTTAGAGGCATTGAAATGTTTAGGGCAGAAGGCTATTGGGCCCATTGTGTTTATTACATAAGAACATAAGAACATAAGAATTAGGAGCAGGAATAGGCCATTCGGCCCCTCGAGCTGCCCCACCATTTGATAAGATCATAGCTGATCTTCAGACCTAACTAATTACCTGCCCTATCCCCATATCCCCCAATCCCTCTGTTTTTTAAAAAATCTGTCAATCTCAGCCTTGAAAATGTTCAAGGACTGACATCTACAGCCTTCTGGGGGAGTGAATTCACTCACTACTCTCAGAGTGAAGAAATATTTCCTCAACTCTGTTCTAAAAGGCTGACCCTTAATTTTAAGACTGTGACCCCTGGTTATAGATTCTCCTATTGGGGGAAACAGTCCCTCAGTGTCTACTTTATCAGCCCTTTAAGAATCTTATATGTTTCAATAAGATCTCCCCTAATTCTTCTGTACTCTAAAGAATACAGCCCCAGTTTATTCAGCCTATCCTCATAGGTCAGTCCCCTCATCCCAGGAACTAACCGAGTGAATCTACGCTGCACCCCCTCGAGGGCAATGATGTCCTTTTTTAAATAAGGAGACCAAAACTGCACACAATACTCTCGGTGCAGTCTCACCAAAGCCCTATACAGTTGCAGCAAGACTTCCCTACTTATTCTGGTGTCCAAGTCAGCAATCCCATCGCGATTTGATGGTTAGAGCGCTCGAGGGGATCCGAGTTCGATTCCCGGGCACGGCAAAACCTTCGGCAAGTTTCCTTCCTCCAGACCCCTCTGCTGTATTTTACCCACAAATTCACAGTCATTGTACATTTATTCCCACTTACCTCCTTTTCCCCCACCACCCCCATACCTAGTCTTGCAAATGACTCCTCTACAAATATGTATCTCGTTCCCTCTTGAAAGCTAATATAGATCCCAGCGGAGCATAACGCATCCTAAAACGTCTCTTTGTAAAAAATAATTACTCCGAATCTCCTCTTTGCTCCCTCACTAACTACCTCAAATTGATGCCCTTTAGTCACCGACTCACCGACCAGTGGAAATATTTTATCACAAGTGATCGGTAAGAGATCAATCATCCATTCTAGGTGAAGTGAACGACGTCAATCAGCCACTACAAATATCCTCATAATCCTTGATGTGACCCCAAAGTGTGGACGGAATGTACCAACCACGAACAAATAAACAGGACACACCTGGTATTCAAAAGTACAGCCAATGCAAACAGCCACACTGTGACCTTTGTGAGGTTGTTAACGGAGAGAGAGAGAGAGAGAGGTGGATTGCTAACAACCCCGCCCCGCTCCCCCCACCCATCCCATTCCCAGCTGCCCGGAAACACGGCTTAAAAACAACAGGAACAGGAGTTGACCATTCGAGTCGGACCACCAATTTATTATATCACGGCTGATAGAATTAATCCTATTATTATTATTATCCCTGATGACCAAAATGTTTTTCTTATTATTATCCTTGATCAGAATCAATAATGCTAATTGCACACACCATATTGGGTAATCTTGGCAGCTCAAATTCCGGTGGGGGGGCAGTGGTGGGGAAGAAGGAGTACAAATGAAGACCTAATGTCCCTCCAATCTGGATTCCAGCCAACATCAAGTGACCAAAATTGTGTTACATTTCAATTAACTTTAACTCCAAATCCCTGAAATGTCCAGCGCCTTGGGACGTCCTCCCGACGTGAAAGGCGCTGCACAAATTTTGTGTTGTATTGTAACTTGGATCGAGAATTGGTTATTTGTTAGAAAACGAGAGAAAATGGCACATGGTGTCGGTGAGAATTGGGGCTAGCGTGTGTAGCTCCAGTGGAATTGTATACAGTGGAAATGATACAGCCACAAAATATACCGTCAATTCACTTTACAGTCTATCCTGTGAAGTGCTTTGAGACGTCTCGAAGACGTGATAAGGCGCTGTATCAAATGCAATTATAATTGTATAGTTATATATAATTATATAGTTATTATAATTGCTATCACCAGCCCTGGCTTACTGATAGCCGAATGGTATCTTATACTATAACTAACTGAATCTGGGCAAAAATTGTGCTGCTCATCTCTGTTCTGTTGTACATGAGGGAGGAAGCCCCTTTAACTCGGTAAACCGCCAGTTAGAAAGGTTATGCCTTGTAACTGTGTCAAAACATTGTTAAATTATCTGAGTTGTTTTAACAATAGGAAGCAGTACCTAAGACTTGGCATATTCGTGTTCAAGTGGAATTGAGAGAAGGGGGAATGAGTCAGAACTGGAGGCTGTTGTTCGATCCTAAAGCAGGACACTGTGCGTGCACAAATTGGCTGTTGCGTTAGCGCAGTTTACAGTAATAATAATCATCCTTGCATTTGATATGGCGCCTTATCACGTCTTCAAGACGTCTCAAAGCGCTTCACAGAATATACTGTAAAGTGAATTAACTGCATATTTGTGGGCGAAAAGTGGCGGCCAATTGTGCACAGCGACATCCCACAAGCAGTCGTGGATTGAAGTGACCAATTTTATTGTTTTTTTTTCTTGAGGGATTGTTATCTGGCGTATGGAGTAAGGGAACTTGCCCAAGGTTTCGCCCTGCCGGCAATCAAACCCAGATCTTTCACTTGCGAGGCGAGTGCTCTAACCACTGAGCCTCAGGACTCCTCCACTTCAGCTTCTAGAAAAAAAGACAACTGAAGAATACTCTAATTTTCTGTCCAATCTAATAATCTAAAAATGTCCAATTATTTTCTAATTCTCTCCCGACTGGAAGAGGCGTCTCTGCCCCTGCCCCTGCCCTCTCTCTCTCTCTCTGCCCGTGGCCTCTCTCTCTCTCTCTCTCTCTCTGCCCGTGGCCTCTCTCTCTCTCTCTCTCTCTGCCCGTGGCCTCTCTCGCTCTCTCTCTCTCTCTGCCCCTGGTCTGGCCATGGTCCAGGTATGAGCCTGGGCAGTGAGTGGAGTCAGGTCACTTGACTGTAGAGGGTGTCACGCATGCACACATGCGCACATAAAATAATAAAATAAAATAAAAACACGTAAAATGTACACCCTGCTTAACCCTGAACAGGCAGGGGCCCATTTATCCTCCCAACCCAACCCCATCCAGCAAACTCAGTAAATTGGGATTTGAACAGCAACAGCCTGTTCTATAAGCTGCAGCTCTGGTCACTACACTGGAGAAGAGAAGGTTGAGGGTGATATGATTACGGTCTTTTCTAAAAATTCTAAAGGGATTAATTAATGTAGAACATGATAAGCTGTTTTTTCTTGTAATGAACCAGAGGCCACGACCTGCGATTGAAAGGGGGATACACAGTACACGTACATATGTACACAGTAAAACTTTGAGATGTCCTCCCGACTCCATAAGAAATGTAAGGATTATTATTATGGAAGCAGGAAGATTTCTAGAAAAGAGCCGGTGGATGGTAGTTGATAGGGTAGTGGTTGGAGGTTTGAGAAAAGCAATCTAAAGAATGATATTAACAAAAGAACAAGTCTCTGGTTCA